GGATTCCAGTGACACTTCTCTGCCCGCTTACCCTGACCCGAATAGAGGTTTGTTAATACCAATGCGGGAAGAAGGGGAAAAAGCCTTTTAATTAAGCTTATGAGTGGCACTTTTTTTTCTTTCCCTTTTGAAGATCCCAATTCGGTCAGTAAACTGCGATCATCTTCAGTGCTTTGACCTGTCCTCCTATTTAACTATAAATAAACGGCGGCCAAGGTGGAATTGTCCGGTGTGTAGTCTCCCATCTCCATTTCGAGATCTGCGACGTGATGAGTGAGTTGCCTTCATAAAGTCCAAAATTTTGATCATTTCCTGTACTTCTTTCATTCTCATGCATTCTTTTGATTTTCCATATTTTACTTTCCTACTTAGCTTTTTTCTCCACCTCCTGAAGAACAAGACTCTCTCTGACGCCGAACATGTGAAGGTCGATGCTGAAGGTAATTGTCGAAAAGTTATAACCGATTCCACCGCTCCGAGCAATGGTGGTAATGGCGACTCAAATTCGCACAAGCCTCAACGTAACGGTGATGGTAGTGGCGATGGTGGAAGCAATGATTTTCCACCCTCAATGAGCCCCTTTAAGACGGATCCCTCCTCACGCCAGCGAGGTCCGCACCTCCAATCTGCGCCGTCATCATCAACTTCGCCACCACGAAGACGCCCACCGTCGCCTTGCATCCTCATCATCGACGACTCCGATTCTGATAAGGAGGCAGAGGAGAAGGCAGCGAAGGAGAAGGCAAAAGAGGGGAATGTCACTACTGCACCTAACTCACTAACCACTCAACAAGCCCAACCCATAGCGTCACCACTACCCACGATTCCAGCTTTTGCTCCTGCTGCTCCACCCAGTGCCCCTTCACTGGTACTCCCAATGCCAATTCCTTCTCAAACTTTTTGTGGGTAAGGCTGTTTTCGAGCAAACGAGGTTAATAGCTTGTACCTAGGCAAGTGGTTTTATGCGGCACGAGTGATGGTTGGATTGTTGGTTGAATGGATGATAAATGAGGTGAATGTTTTGTTGTACGAATTACCAGCTCTGACAATCAGTTTAATAATGTGTGACCGGTCGGCTGACTTGATGACACGATCTCTTATAACATCAGTGAAGATTGTATTTCTGCGATTTCACATGCAGCGATCTCGTTGTGGATTTGACGGAGCTTTCAGACGAAAGTGATGATGACCCACCACTCCCAAAATCACCCAGAACAGCGGCGCCACCTCCTTCTCCTCCCCCTCCACCGCCCTCTCTTCCTCCACTTTCTTCATCAGCTTCTCCGCCTCCTGTTCCAGCACAGACTTCTTGTGCCCCACCTCCATCACTCCCTCCACCTCTTCCTCCCCCTCCTCCTTCTCCCACTGTCACTCCTTCACCCTCACTTCCAACTTCAGCAGTAGCGGCCGCCGTGACGTCGCGTCCTCCGATTCTAGTCATTCCAACAGAAACTCCAACTTCTACTGTTACCACCATCAGTGCTCCACCCAACGTTACTGTCACTACTGCGACAGCGATTAGCCACCCAGCTGCCCCTGTATCCAGTGAAATTCAGACCCGTCTGTTTGCCCCTCTAACTGCAGTTTCCGGGAGCCGAATTCTCTTCCTTTCTAATCCGCAACCCATATCCACGTCGAATGTTCCGCCTTGTTCAAATGGTAGGTGTTTCCTTTCTCCATTAATACCCTCATCTCTGGCTTGTTCAGATTCATTCTATTGCTTAATCGTCCATCCTTTTCTGCTCCTGTTCCTCTGCTCCATTTCCATCCACCCAGTCTTCATTAGTCCATTCGCCTCTCCATCTATCTCTAGCCGGCATTCACACAATCACTTACCCATCTACCTTTCTGTCCTAGATTAAAAGCGATTCAACATTGAGGCGGCAAAATTCACTAATACGTTCCCATCCCTCCTTTTTTTAGCTGCAGTTGTTGCCCGCAATGTTGTAACCACGGCAACTACAATGACAGTATCGTCTGCCGCTGTGACTGTCGCCTCCGTCACGCCTAGTAACACGGCTAAGCGACCTTTAATTACAACCACCTCTACTGCGGTAAGTGGTGGCACTCAAGAATCCAACGTAACTGCTCGTTCTGGACGGTTTAAAATCACTGCCAAGAGACGATGCGTCCTGTCTTCACCAGTGTCGAATTCTACCGATGGTTCTGCATTGCCCGCAAGTCCAGTGGTGGTAGGTCCTTAAGGGGTTCATCGCCTTGGAATTGATTCGTACTAGTTGGAGATTCAACCCGTGTCATCATTCCTCGCCTTATTAGTGTGTTCTTCCACCCTACCAACTTTTCTGTTCGTTAGATAATTTCACCGCCCTTGGTTACCGCCACGTCAAATCCTCCGGCTGCAGCAATAACCACTGTTGCTGCACGACATTCAGCACCGGCTTCTACGCTCATAACAACTACTGTCCTTCCTCCTTCTGTTCCTGCACATTGTCTTCGCTCATCGCGTCAAACAATTCAACTTCCAACAACACCCTCCAAATCTGCTGCAGCACGAGGACGTGGTCGTGGACGTCGTCGTGTCTTCATTGACGATGGTGCCAGTGATGTTACAACATCGGCAGGGATAGGAAACATTGGTGGAACATTTGAACCGTCTCTCTCCTCTACCTCCACAGGAGCGATCTCCGAAGAGAATGCAGAAGATGAGACGCATGATGACGAGGAGGACGATGAAGAAGGCGAGGAAGAAGATGACGATGATGATGATGACTGGACACCTGGGGCTTCCTCCTCTAGTACCACTCCAAACTCATCACGTCGAAGATCTGCTGCCACAACATCATCGTCAAGACGCAGACCGTTGAGTACGATCGGTGCGGATGGGTCTCGAAGTAGAAGAGGATGAGAGTTGAATGTTATGATTGAGATGGTACTGTTGGTATTACTATGTCTACTGCTACGTTTTTGTGGGTGGGTTTTGTAGAATGCCGCGCAAGACAAAGAATATTTATGGCCCCATCTTATTATCCCAGCTTGTCTTTTTTGCTTTGACTTAAGGGGGAAGTGGTTTCACTTTTAAGGAAAAAAAAGAATCTTGCAATGCAACACCCTTGTTAGGTTCATCGCTTATTAATATTTTCTCTTTTCCATAGTTGCCTGCTTAGGATATCCCTTTCAAGCGTAAGCGAACTTCTGCCTGTGGACAAGGTTCACTTGCGTGTAAGTTCCAGGCACAGCCGTCCTTCTCGTCTAAAACGATTCTGAGGTTTGAGTTTTTGAGTGTCCTTCCACCAGGGCGGATTGTAGAGAAAGGTTGAAAGAGCTCCATCCAAGGCTTTCCAATCTCGATACTTCTGGAAGGCAGTAGGCACGTCAGTTAAAGTCGTTTTGCGCACCAAGCCACCCTCGATGTGACAGTTTTGATTGACAGTTAAATTTGTCATTAGAGGTGGTAAATAGCGCATGGATGTGTTGCAGGCGACCGCTTCTTTGGCAATGAGTAGGATGCGCCCGTCTTGTACAACTGCTATAGGGCGAGCCGACACGGGAGACAAGGCTCTGGAGGTACATACTCCGGAAGCATAGAAGACTACACATCTATCAGGATCGCCCTACCTCTTTTACATAAGAAAACTTTCCTTGTACTCTTTTCTGTCCTCCATCCCTCCTCGTTTCGCTTGCGCACCGTCACCTCCCTAACCACCGCCTCGCACCCTTCCCAACCCTCAACTCCAACACCCTCCTCCAAGGCTCTGAGCGTTATGCGCACTTGACTACGTCAACACCGTCATGTCGCTCCTCTCCTCGCACTCCACCAGTAGAGGTGATGCGGAGGAGGAACACCTCAACAGCAGCTAACCAATGAACGCTTGGCGTGTTGTGCTCACGTCGCCACGCATTCAGACGACTCGTCACAGCGTCTGTGATGAAGCAGACGCAGTGGGCGAGACGGAGTAGACGCAGTGCGGTGTGGTGGTGTGCAACATGTCAGCACAAATAATGAGGTGGGTCGTGCAACGAACTGTTGCCTAACGTGTGATTGTGTATGGGTTTGCGAATGGTAAATCGGATTTGTTCCCCTCTCTCCCCCATTGCACCCCACCTCTGTCTACAGCCTCTCTCGTTGGCCTCCCGAACCGGTTTTGTGGTATTTGGGAATGCGTGAAACGGAATGCTAACATCCTGGTCAGTTAATGTGAAAATGTGGGTCTGAAGGCGGCGGAGACGGGGGGGATCGGGCATTACCACATCATTTCCCTCTTTTTGCGCTTACCTTTCCGATTTTACGACATTTGGTGCTAGGAGGTGCTGCACACCGTCATTCCTTCCTCCTCCTTTTGGCCTGGAAGATTGTTGGCTTTATTAAAGAGGAAATATGTAGGATAATGTAAAAAATGTTCAACAATTTCAAGGCAAACGCGGTTCACTTTTTTCAATCCTTTGTAAGGAAGTGAGAGCTTACAATAGCAGATCTGAGGAACCGGCTTGCTTTGTTCTTCGTCGGTTAACACTCCAAGGATTCGCTTTGTTGTTATAGGGATGAGGTTCTGATACGCGCCTGTTAATAACCAAAAAATGCCGAGAAGAAAGAGGGAGAAAAATGCTTTTAAATCAAGCGCTGCAAAGTTCTTACAGAGGATGAATCTCCCGCTTTGACAGGCATCGTAATCACTGAGATCTGTCACTGCGTCCAAAAAAGTGCACTTCACAGACAATCACACACGACTATGGCAAAGCGGCGTTACTAATGCTCATGACTTTTCCTCCTTCTCCCCCATCTCCTCCCCTCCCTCAAATAATGGCATGGTCCACTTTTTCTAGTCACTATCCTTTCAGATCTGCCAACTTGATGGCGCTGCAAATGGAAGGGAGGCATTCCTTGCAGAAGTAGAACCATGCGGTGTCTGAACCGCAGAATAAAGTTAAGTGGCAAAGTGTGTTGAGTGTTGTTCGACATTTTGGGTGATTTGATCTACTTCCCTTCTGTAGTATTGAGTCAGCGCCTGTTAGTTTTCCCAATTCTATGCTCCCCTACTTGCTACTGAATGCACATATTCAGTAGCGCTTCCATAAGTGGATTTTTGAATGCTTTACGTTAACGTCCTCTTTCTACGAGACTGCTGAGTCATTTGACCTCTCGAGTTGCTCTTTATGGTTCATAATGCGAACACTTCAATGGCATTGGTTACTGCTTAGTTCTGCTCAGGTCTTCGTGCTTCCTACTTATCACGTCAAATCACTGGCGCGTTCCATCTCGTCTTGCCCACCGTTGATAATGTGGGCAGTATAGTGAAGCAGCAGTGATATTGGCTACTGTTTTAATTCTATCCGTCTTTTCAATTTTGTACTTTCCTACTCCCTACTTAATTCGTTGATTTGGTAGCACATTCTTGCATAATGTTTACAAAGTGGCAAGTTTAATTGACTTAATCGACAGCTAAGCTTGCCAAAGTGTATTATTTGCTATTTTGGTTCCACTTGTATTCTTAATTAATTGCTCGTAAGTTGCTACTTAATCCACCTATTCAGTAGTGCATTTGAAGTTGACTTTAAATTCCTTTTCATTTGCTGCATTCTTCGCACGATAAGTGACTTCTGGACTACCCCTAACACACTATTCACAGCATTGACTGTTCGGTGAGAAGGCATTGGCAATTAGACTAGTTAAAGCACTTTGGATACTTTTGCGTTAATATGCTGCTTTTACGGGTGCTAAGACACAGTCACATGCATGCATCCATCAGCATCATTAGTTTGGGCAGCAGCTTTATCACCTGGTTAGGACAAGACGTTCGGGACACGATCACGCCTGAATGTTCACTCTACAATTCCTGCAACAAACAGTGCCTTCGCTGACAGGAAATCACTCTTCATACTCAGTTGACAGATGCTTGGATGTAAATCAGGGCGTACACTTACCAGCCTCTATCCTATCCGCAGATATGATTCCTTCTACGAGTTGGTACAAATACTAGCTGATGATACTACGCAGTCAGAAGCCGTGTTGGACAAAAGTAAGCAAACGAATGGATAAACCATAGTTACTGCCACCGCTTTTACTCTGAAGCATTTAACTCAAGGTTGAGGGTAATACTATGCGCTGCAATCTTGCAAGACAGAACTACTGGTTACTGACTCAAACTGTTGGAATTGTTCAGTCCTTCAATTTACTTGGCTTTGTAAAGCGCATGGAGTGCGCCAACTGTGAATGCAAAATTAGGTAAAATTTTAGATTGCACATGCCAGCTACCTTCATGCGGTCCTCGAGAAACTGCATTGAGGTCCTTTTAGCAGGGCGCATCGCTCACCGTGGTACGATAACCATCATCAACTTCGTTAGTTAATCTGGTCCCCGCCTTCTTGACAATGAGTCAATGTGGTACTCCTGACTGGCACAAAAGCCTTGAGTAGTGTAACTTGGATGAAGAACATGACGTGTTTAGCCATGCCATCAGGTCATCTACAACCATGGCGCCTATCATTGCCTCAGCCTTCGGAGACTAAAAATTAAGTTCTACGCAACTGCAGGAAGACATTGGGCGGACTTCTTGTTTCGTTCGAACAAAACCTACATACCGTGCAGCATGGCAATGTGAATGATAAATGACCTTCTGGACTCCACCCATTTGCCAAATAACACTAGCGCCATATTTCACTCACCGCTCTCCTTGTTTGTGGGAGAACGTGTGAAAGGCAGAAGCAAAGGAAATGTGGTAACAGCTTCACGAAAGTTATCCCTCAATTGCGTTTAGTGGAAGGAAAGTTGCACTGTTAGGTGAACGATATTTCCAAATTTTTGAGGCGGTTTGAGAAAAAATGAAAATGTCTCTCTTCCGCAGTATGCAGGCGTGCAAGGATGTGCATTCCGTTGTACCCTCCTCCATCTCTTTCTCTCTCGATCGGTCATTCCCTTCTAGCCGCGAAGATGCTTCAAACCTGTCAACTGTTTAACAGAGATTCAAGACTGTGCAGTAAATGGCTTGTTAATACACTCCCGTCTCTGAGAGCATTTTCTCCTAATTGTGATGTATTATGCGCCCATGTGCATCAGTGACAACTCTCGATACGACTTCATGCCGACTGACTAACTTTACGACCGACCAGCGGACCGCCTGAAAGACTGTGAAGAATGCAAGACTGGTCGTGATGCGAGGTGCTTTCCATTGTTCTTAGTCATCCCTGAACTCTTTACTCACCTTTCGTGCATATGCTAATTGCTAGGGGGTAGTGCAGGGAGGGCGTTGGTTGTGCAACAAACGCTCTCACCGAAGGATGAACAACAACTTGGTTTAATTCCTTTTATGGATGCGCCCTTCTCAAGCACGATTTTAAACAGGTGTCTTGGTGATTAGAGCGTTTTGCTGCTTGACAATGACATAAGGTCCAAGAAGCGGTGCGTTCTGATGTGAGCAGAGGAAGGACATTCTCTGAACGCTGGCGGAGTGAGGCAGGCAGTTTGTTACTGCAATTGACTTACTAAAACAAGATGGTTAACATTTAATTTAACATTA